CCCGAGTGCTGGGATTACAGGTGTGTGCCACCACACCTGGCAAGATTACTTCACTTTTAGTATATCCTGAACAAAGCTATTTGTTTCTTTTGTAATGTTGGATCGTTAATAGTTTCAAATTATTACACTTTAATAACCATTATATAAGGAAAGAAACTTTGAAATTCAATGTTATACTAACAAATTATCTTAGTTACTATGAAGTTTTAAAATTTAGTGGCACTTTAGTGTATCACATTGAAATACATATTTAAATTTTTTTTTTCCAGATTCAAGATGGAAAAGGTGATGTGACCATTACAAATGATGGTGCTACCATTCTGAAACAAATGCAAGTGTTACATCCAGCAGCCAGAATGGTAAGGATGATTACAGATGAAGTTGTTTTTAGTGTGTTGTTTGCAGGGTCAGGGAGGTAGCTCACTGGTGCTGTGCCTGCCTGGCAAGCATGGTCCTCAGTTTGATCCCCAGTATGGGAGCGGGGGTAGTGGGAGGGTGGGGTATATTTTTTTATATTTGACAGTACTAGAGAAAACACGGGGCCTCTCACATGCTAGGCACAGTCTACCACTGTAGTATACCCAGCCCTTTCTTTATTTTTACTTTTTATTTTGAGACAGCATCTTTTTTTTTTCTTTTCTTTTTTTTTTTTCCTTTTTGGTGCTGGGGATCAAACTCAAGACCTTGTGCTTTCGAGGCTGGCAGCGGCACCACTGAGATAAATCCCCAGCCCCCAAGACAGCATCTCAGTAAGTTTTCCAGAGTGAGCTCAAACTTATGATCTTGAGTAGGTAGAATTACAGGTGTATGTCACCAGGCCCAGGTTTTTTTTTTTTTTTATAAAAAGTTGATTTTGTTGCTCACATGAAGTTTTTCTTTATGCCAAATATTTTTAGCATGTATCATGTCACTTTAGCATAAAGTAATAATAAAACATGAATCATTTTGTCTGTAAAAATGTACCACACAGTTGAAATTAAACAGAAATGATGCTTTTTTAAAATTACAGATTACTTTTAGTGTTAGTTGGAAGAAAAAATAGTTTTGTTTTAAGTATACTAAGGATTGTACCTAGGACCTTGCACATGCTAAGTTAGCATTCTTTCACTGAGCAGCACCTTCAGCCCCAGAGAACGAAGTGATTTTTTTATTATAAGATAAATTATGTTAAAGTTTGCGCTCACATTTACTTTTGAAATGCCAGTTTAACATTATGATTCAATTATGATTCAAGTGTCAAGTGAAAAGTCACCATATCAACCAAAACAAATGCCTTAAAAATTCCTATCTATTGAAACATCCTGCTGGGTACAGCAAGCAGCACACCCTAAAACCCCTCCTATTCTACAGGCTGGGGCAGGAGGATCCCTCGAGCCCAGGAGTTTGAGGCCAGCCTGAACAACATAGTAAGACCCTCCATCTCAAAAAAGTCCCCTTTATTATGTAAATAAGACTTAAAATGAATCTTGGTTATGCTTACATGGGCTCAGTTCAGGACTTTAATACTTTCTTCTCTGCAATGCTTGATTTTGTAGCTTCCAAGTCTACCTACAATACAATATTAGTGTTTTTAATAGATTCTTTTCTTTTGAGATCTTGTTACAGTATACAGTGTGAACCAGAAATCTTAATATCTTTTATATAAAGAAAGTTAATAAGTAGAATTTTATGTGCCACAAATACATCACTTGCTGTCGGGGGAGGGGTTTTGCCTTCGGTGTTTTGAGATAGTGTCTCACTGTGTAGTTCATGCTGGCCTCAAACTCAGAGTGATCCTCCTGCCTCAGCCTCCTAAGCACTAAGATTACAAGCATGTACCACCACTCCTGGCCAGTTTTCATTTATAAATGAAAGTCAAGGAAGATAGCAAATCAGAAGTCAAATGATACTGAATCTTCAGATTCTGCTTGTGACACTGATGTGTCAACCTGAGTTAGATGTTACTGGATACTCACATTTCTCAGTGACAATCCTGCCATGTTCTATTCTTGTAGCTGGTGGAACTGTCTAAGGCTCAAGATATAGAAGCAGGAGATGGCACCACATCAGTGGTCATCATTGCTGGCTCCCTCTTAGATTCCTGTACTAAGCTTCTTCAGAAAGGTAAGAAATGCTTTGTTACTGAATAACAGGGCAGAATAGTTGTGTGTATGTGTTTTAAGACAAGCATTGGGAAAAGTGAAATTATTTTTAAATGGTGGGGGATTTAATTTAGAATAACATTACTATGAATTTTTTAGAATTTGCTGTTTTGCTTTAATTTTTGCCAGGCTTCTTTTTTGTATGGTAATCATTAGAATTTTGCTTTTCAGAAATAAATGATGATAGTGTTACTAACCTTAGACTGATTATTTGGGGGAGAGAGTAAAGGTTTTGGTTTAGTAAATAGTGTTTGGTCATATAGTGACTGCAGTCTACTTAACAGATGTGTGATGTTTTGAAAAGTATAAAATGTTTTGATCACATGCATCTCTAATTGATCTGTTTCAATTTAAGTGGAAGTAAATTACTGGCCATAATTAGAAGTTAAGGTTAGTTTAGGTTTACAACCGATGCATAAATTACTTTGTATTAAGAGTATTTATGGGCTAGGAATGTGGTTCAGTTGTAAGGCACTTATCTTACATGCACAAGGCCCTGGCATCTATCCCTGTTACCACACACTCAAAGGAAAAGTATTTGTGATTGCTTTGAATTTTAATGAATAGAGCATTTTTAAATTGTGACAAGTGGTTTATCTGTTATAATTAAATAACTAGACTTTTATAAATAACAGGGATTCATCCAACCATCATTTCTGAGTCATTCCAGAAGGCTTTGGAAAAGGGTCTTGAAATCTTGACTGACATGTCTCGGCCTGTGGAACTGAGTGATAGAGAAACTTTGTTAAATAGTGCAACCACTTCATTGAACTCAAAGGTGAGAAAGCACTAAGAGATAGTTGACATATGATTTAAGGTATGTTATTTTATTGCTGTGATTTTGTTTTAATTGCTGTGATTCTTGAAATCACAATACATAAACATTGTCTCCAGACAAGGTAACTAAATGTATAGCAAATTGGTGTAAGATTATGAGATGAAATGATCCATAAGGCCAATAAAGGGGCTAGAATATTTGACAAGCGCTATATCCTTTTCCAGTTTTTCATTTTAACAATGCTTTAATGTGGCTAAATAATTAGCCAAGCTTTAACTTGCCTGTTAGAAACCTTTCCATCTCCCTATCAGAGGACTAGCATAGAATTTCTGTAAGTACAGGGTTTTTTTTTTGTTTGTTTGCTTTTTATCAGTACTGGGAATTAATCCTTCATAGGATACTATAATGAGCTGCACCTTAGCCCTTTTTTGTTTTGCCTTTTTTTGGGGTACCAAGAATCAAACTTAGACCTTGTGCTTGTGAATAGCCCTTTTTGGTTTTATATTTAGAGGTAAGATGTCAATTTGCTCGGGTGGGCTTGAACTTCAGATCCTTCTGCCTCAGCCTTCCAAACAGCTGGGATTATAGGCATGCACTGTCTCGCCCAGCTACTTTTTACTGAATATTAAGTATGCTAAGCATTGCCATAAGTTATATTTCTTAGACTTTCAGATTGGTAGTCACATCCCAATTTACAGGAAAATAGATCTGAAAAAGTTCCAGGGCCTACAAATAAAGAGGTACACTGAATTTGAATCCAAGATGGGCTGCCCATCCATGGTCCATCTCTTAACTAATAACCCCTGCTGCTTTTCTTATTTACATGTTTTTGTTTTTGAGAAAGGGTCTCGCTTTGTAATTCTATCTGGCCCTGTACTCACTTTGTAGCCCAGGCTGGCCTCAAACTCATGATCCTCCTGTATGTGCCTCCCAAGTGCATGCTATGCCACCACACCTTTTCTTAGTTATGAAACTAGAGTAGTGATGAACTTTTTAAGTTTCTTAGAAAATTTAAAATGAAAAATTTTTACTAAGCCTAAACAAAAAATTTTAACACTTTAAAAGTTGTCGCCATGTTTATGTCATATCCTTTGTCATTCACTCACCTTCCCTCTCTTTTTCATTTTCCCCTCCTTTTGGAGTGCTGAGAATTGAACCTGGGCCTCTTCTATGCTAGGCAAATTTTTTTTAAAGTCTTAAATGGAGAGTTACTCTTTTTTTGTTTTTTGAGACAGGGTCTCACTGTGTAGTTCAGACTGCCCTGGAACTCACTGTGTAACCTAGGCTGGTCTCCAATTTGCATCAATCCTCCTGCCTCGGCCTCTGAAGTGCTGGGATTACAGGCATACGCCACCATGCCCAGCTATTAATTGGAGAGTTACTTTTAAGTGACACTAGATGATACTTGTTTAATATCTCCAGAACTGAAAGTAAATAGCATGATGATTACTAGCACTGGTTTTACAGACTTTAGGTTGTGTTTAGTGCTGGTTTCACCACTTAAGTGGTATGACTGGGCAGTGACTTAATCTTTTTCAGTCCATCTAGAGATTTTGTTTTGTTTTTTGTTTTCGTCGGGTCATCTAAAGATTGATTGAATCGCTTCTCGGCCTTTTGGCTAAGATCAAGTGTAAAGATTGATTGAGTTAATACGTAGAAAGTGTTAACCATTGTCTGTTACATATAAGTGATTGGTAAATATTAGTCATTAACTTCATTAGCCCCCCCGTATCTCCTGAACACTCATTTACTTTAGGTAGAAACTTCCAGTAAAATTAATTGGATGCTTTTTCTGAAAAACTGTTGGCAATTTGTACAACCCCAAAAGTAAGAGCGAAAAGAAAGCATACACATTTTTATTTTGTGCTTCTGATCACAATCTGAGTAGAAAAGTGGCGTTTCATGTGGTTCATTCTCCCTACAGGAAAGATGATTAGAATTCCTGAGTATCTCTGTCATTGAAAAATTAGGATATTTTCTGCTCTGAAGGTAACTTTTTTTCTCCTCTAATCTAGGTGGTCTCCCAGTATTCAAGTCTGCTTTCTCCAATGAGTGTAAATGCAGTAATGAAAGTGATTGACCCTGCCACGGCTACTGGTGTAGATCTTAGAGATATCAAAATAGTTAAGAAGCTTGGGTAAGCATCTCTAATTACTACTTTAATATTCCCAAAAGTAAATAGTTGCCAGCTTGCCACAATGGATGTAATTATTAATATACTGCAAACATGTACTCATAAGATTTGTTTTGTTTTGTTTGGTACCAGGGATCGAACTCAAGTCCTTGAGCTTGCAAGGCAGGCAGCAGAACCACTGAGCTAAATCCCCGGCCCAGATTTGTTTTGTTTTGTTTTGGTACCAGGGATTGAACTCAGGCCCTTGCTCTTGCAAGGCAGGCACCAGAACCACTAAACTAAATCCCCGGCCCCTTTTGTTTTTGAGACAAAGTCTTGGTATCTACCTCAGGCTATACTTAAATTCATTATGTAGCCAAGGTTGAACTTGAACTCTTGGCAATCCTGCCTCAGCCTCTGGAGTGCAAGGATTATAGACATGTGCCACCGCACCCAGCTAGAATTTTTTTTTTTTTTTTTTTTTTTGGTGCGGGGGATTAAACATGGGTCCTTGAGCTTGTGAGGCAGGTGGCAGAACCACTGAGCTAAATCCCTGGCCCTAGAATTTTAAAAATTAAAAAAATTTTAAAGAAAATACCTAGATGAAAATTATGTAGGTAGCTAGCTAGCTTGCTTGCTTGCTTTCTTTAATAGACATGTTTTCTTGGAACTTCTGTTAGAATGGCAATCTCCAGGTTCTTTGTGCAGTTCCTTACAATCAATGGTAATGGATCTAAAAGGTCCCAGGAGCCTACTTGCTCAGGTGATGTGGGCAAGATCAGTTCATCTGGAACCAGGTATAGCATGTCAGCCTCTACATTCTTTCCCAATGGAAGAGTTTTTCAAGTTGAATATGCTGTGAGGGCTGTGGAAAATAGTAGTACAGCTGTTGGGATCAGATGTAAAGATGTGTTGCCTTTGGGGTAGAAGAATTAGTTCTTTCTATCTTTTTTTTTTTTTTTTTTTTTTTTTTGGTACAGGGATCGAACTCTGGTTCTTATGCTTGGGAGGCAGGCAACAGAACCACTGAGCTTAATCCCCGACTCAGTTCTTTCTAAACTGTATGAAGATTCCAACAAATGAACTTAACATCAGCATATGTTGCGATGGCAGTAGCAGGTTTGCTGGCAGATGCTCATTCTTTAGCAGACATAACAAGAGAAGAACCTTCCAACTTTAGATTTAACTTTTGCTATAACACTCAACTCAAACATCTTGCAGACAGAGTGGCCATGTATGTACATGCTTACACACAGTACACTGCTGTTAGACCATTCAGCTGCAGTTTCATGCTCTGGTCTTATAGTGTGAATGACTTTTTACAACTCTACATGATTCACCATCAGGTATTTCATATGGTTATTGGAGCTATGCTATTGGCACAGCCAGGCAAGCTCCAAAGACAGAAATAAAGCTTCAGATGAAAGAAATGACCTGCCATGGTTTTAAATAAGTTGCAAAAATAATTCACACAGTACGTAATGAAGAATAAAGGTTTTTGTTTTTGTTTTTTTGGTACTGGGGATCGAATTCGGGTCTTTGCGCTTACAAGGCAGGCAGCAGAACCACTGAGCAAATAAATCCCCGGCCCAGGTTAAAGCAGAGTTCATCTGGGTTGGTGAATTCACTAAAGGAAGACATGAAATTGTTCCAAAAGATAAGAGGGAAGAAGCAGAGAAATATGCTGTGGAATGACTGAAGGAAGAAGATGAATCAGATGATAATTAACATTTCTTGTTTGTTTGTTTGGTACTGGGAATTGAACTCAGGAACTCCCAGGCAGGTTCTGTGCTGCTGAGCCACATTCCTGGTCCTCTGCTTTAAATTTCTATGACCATCCCTTGTAACTCTTTAGCCCCTGGATTATACATATCTGTTGATCAATTTTCTTAAAATTTTGTCTTATAAAAAATAAGTGGTCCAGGAATTGGGTACTAATGAAAGAAGGCTGAAACACATTTTGTTGGACTGAAAACTTTTAATCTGTTAGATCTATTAAACTCTAACCACCTTTTTTTTTTTTTTTTTTTTTTTTTTTTTTTTTTTACGGCCTTGAACTCGGGTCCTTGCATTTGCAAGGCAGGCCACCGAACCGCTGAGCTAAATCCCCGGCCCTGACCACCTTTTAACTATCCTGTTTTGTTTTCTCTTAGTGGGACAATTGATGACTGTGAGTTGGTGGAAGGGCTAGTTCTTAACCAAAAAGTGGCAAATTCCGGCATAACCAGAGTTGAAAAGGCTAAGATTGGGCTCATTCAGTTTTGCTTATCTGCTCCCAAAACAGATGTAAGTGTATAATCCAGGTGAAATTGGTTTTCCATTTATTATTTAACTTCTGATAACTCAGTTATTAATTAAAAATAGAAAATGCTGATACTAGTGATTTGAAAAAAATTAGCCAGGCATGGTGTTGCATAGCTTTAATTTTAGCACTTGCGGGGTCTGAGGCAGGAGGATCACTTCAGTTTTAAGGGCAACCTGACAAAAGTAGAAATTATGGGTACGAGAATTGTTAAGACTATAGACTATTGGGTATTCATTGAAATCTTGATTTACTTCACAGATGAAGACAGAACAGTCAGGTATATATGAAACTAAAAGACAAGTGCTCATGATTTTTCATGTTCTTTATAACTTTTTGAAAGCAGAAACTTAGCTTGCAGATGTTTTAAACCAAGTTTTCTGTTCATACCATAGAAGAAATTTTGGCTTTTACTTAATGTATCCCTGTGTCTGTTACATAAGTACCATTATTTAAAAGCGATTGCTGGTACTTCAGATTTGTTCTCATACTGCCTGGTACTAACATACAGTTTTCCTATTATTCTGTTTCTCAAAAGTTTAGTCTATACAAAAATTATTGTTTGCTGGGCACAGTGGCCCAAGCTCCAGTCCAGCATGGGCAACTCTTGATTTAGTGAGACCCTGTCTTGGAAAAGGGCTGGGGTGTAACTCAGTGCAAAGGCTTTGGGCTCAATCCCTGGTACTACCACACACACAATGTAGTTTAATACCTTGATACAAACAAATTTGTATTTTCAATATACCATTTATATAACAAGCCATAGAGTAAAAAGGGTGCAACTGAAATTATTTCTAGAATACATACATTGTTTTTATGAGAAAGATTGACCGCAAGGTTATAGGGTAATTTGTGCTCATGCATTGTGTATATTGGTTTGGGGGCTTGTCCATCTGTGTGTCCATGCCCCCACCAACCCAATACCTGGGATCAAAATCAGAACCTTCCTCATGCAGAGCAGGCCCAGTGCCACTGAACTAAATCCCTGGCACTATTTTAGTTTTTTGAAACAGGGTCTTGTTTTGTTTTTCTGGTTTTCTTATTTTGATTTGTTGAGGTAGAGACCAGTCTTGCTTTGTAGTTGAGGATGGCCTTGAACTCACTATATATAGTTCAGCGTTCCCTCAAACTCAGTCCTCCTGCCTCAGCCTCCCAAGTGCTAGGGTTACAGGCATGTGCCACCACACCTGGGTTGAATGGGGTTTTGTTTTCTTGTTTTGTAGTGCAGGCTGAACTCAAAACTCATGACAATCCTGCCTCAGCCTTTTGAGTGCACCACGACACCTGGCGCATTTTTCTTTTTTAATCAAAAAAAATACTTGCAGAAAAAGTTCAAATAAAGACAGCAATGTCTAAAAATGAAAGTAAAAATCTCAAGTTGGTGTGAATGTATAACTTTGGAAACTTTTGTATCTATATTTAATTTTTAGTATTATTTTGCTTGAATTCTATAATATTTTCGCTTAAAAATTTTTCAATCTTCTTTCCTTAAAAAAAAAACTCACTTTTGCCGGGCGTGGTGGCACACACCCTGTAATTCCAGCACTCGGGAGGCTGAGGCAAGAGGATCACTGTGAGTTCGAGACCACCCTGGAGCTACATGATGAGTTCCAGGTCAGTCTCAACTACACAGTTGAGACCCTGTCTCAAAAAGCCAAAAAAAAAAATAACCTCACTTTTCACCTAAAATCTTGGTTTTTGGTTCTGAGTGTTGAACCTAGCACCTCAAAAATGCTTAAGCGTGAGATGAAATAAAGAATGATAACCTAGAGACATTTATAGCTAAATGAAGGCCCACTGAGGCCATACTCTTGAGTTAAATAAATAGGACACATGTGTAAATACCAAATAGTTTCTCTGGTGTGAGAAACTGAAAAGTGTAAATAAGGACCAAAATGTATAATGTAAAACAGGGAGAACAGGTCCAAAGGGGAAGGGGAATGGGGGGGTGCAAAATCTTTGTAAAATAGGGATGGAGCGATTGAAGGGAGGGCAGGGGAATAGGGAAAAGATAACCAAGATATATCATGTGTGGGTACAAATTCCCCATGATGAATGTTGTCATATTGTATACCTAAAATATACCAATAAACTTACTGAATAAAATGCTTAAGCATGTATGCTACCGCTGAGCTTAACAATGCAAATTATTAATATGTTCTTTTTCTAAACAGATGGATAATCAAATAGTAGTTTCTGACTATGCCCAGATGGACCGAGTGCTGCGAGAAGAACGAGCCTATATTTTAAATTTAGTGAAGCAAATTAAAAAAACAGGGTGTAATGTCCTTCTAATACAGAAGTCTATCCTAAGGTACGGGAGTAATTGTTTTGTTCAGCCTTAATTATAATTAATTTTGGATACCCAGTAGCAGTTTTTAAAGAAATAACTGAGGTGGCTAGGTTCCCTAAAAATTCAGTGAATCTGTTTTGGAGCATCTTTTTTTTTTTTTTTTTTTTTTTTTTTTTTTTTTCC